GGGGGGGGGGGGGGGGGGTAAACAGGGGAAGATAGAGGAGGCCAAGTCGTTGGGGATCGATTGAGAATGGATGTTACACGGCCAAGAGGAATGGTGGAGGCTTCTCGAGATTTATGGAGACACTTCTTGTTCCCATCGGGGGCCATTTTTACTCACCCACGGTGGATTTAATATTCCAGGGATAATGACAGTCGCTTGATCGGTTAGAGGACCGCGAGGGGTAGGATACTTTTTCAGTATCCAAGGATCAAACATGCACGGATGGGTGACAGGTGCTGAAAATTCGTTACGAGCTCGGGGTTTATGGATATTTAGTGATGATCGAAGGGTAGTGATGGTGTTTTAAGTGGTGATATAAAACGAAACGACACTTTTTTTTTTCAATTTTTTTTCACCTGTCGGATGAAATTCACATTTTTAGAAAATATTTTACACTTCACGAGAAAGTAAGGCGATTTTCATGAGTACAATCGTCTTGCGTCGAATTTTCATGAAGCCCGCGTGACAAACAAAAGAGAATTGAATAGCATTCTATGAAACATGAATAAACGAATCGTAATCGATCAAATCATTTAGGTCAGAGGAAAATAGAATAATTCTACTTTCTTAATATTGCGTTTAATGAAGTGTTCTTCGAACAAAGTTGATTAGAATTAATAGATAGAATTATGAGATTATCTCACATTTTTGACGTTAAGGATAGGAGAATGTGAATGCAATATAGTGAAAGTGATGGCCGATTGAATAGCATTCTATGAAACATGAATAAACGAATCGTAATCGATCGAATCATTTAGGTCAGAGGAAAATAGAATAATTCTACTTTCTTAATATTGCGTTTAATGAAGTGTTCTTCGAACAAAGTTGATTAGAATTAATAGATAGAATTATGAGATTATCTCACATTTTTGACGTTAAGGATAGGAGAATGTGAATGCAATATAGTGAAAGTGATGGCCGATTGAATAGCATTCTATGAAACATGAATAAACGAATCGTAATCGATCGAATCATTTAGGTCAGAGGAAAATAGAATAATTCTACTTTCTTAATATTGCGTTTAATGAAGTGTTCTTCGAACAAAGTTGATTAGAATTAATAGATAGAATTATGAGATTATCTCACATTTTTGACGTTAAGGATAGGAGAATGTGAATGCAATATAGTGAAAGTGATGGCCGATTTTTTCACTTTGAACAAATAATATTAATATCCAAATACAAAATTTCTGATATGAATAAAAAGAAGCTGTGACTCAATATTCCAAATGAAGTTTTAATTTTTAATTTGGTGGTGAAAACACGAGATGACAATATTCTAAGCACGGAATTATATTGATGAGATGAACAACAGATTAATTGAATTACCGTGTGAACTAACTAAAAATTGATAACAGTGTGGGCGCGCACTTTTACCAGATTATCAACAAACATTGAATTCCAGAAATTCACACTCTAAAGTGTGTTCTAGACGGAATTGAATTGTAATTATGATTAGAATCTTATTCAGTGAGCATAGGAATTAGAACATGAGCAAATCATTTATTGTAATATGAAAATTTAACAGCTAATGAATTGGGACTAATGATTCTCATCGGTCGTGTTGCTTTTTGCAGTGGAAATGATCATAAACAATTAATTGAAAAGAGGAATATCTCGTATCGGGAATAAACAAACAGAATTTTCTTCAAATCAAATCTGAAATTTATAATTCTCACTGATATCTCCGTGAATTTCAGAATTTTCAGTGACGAAATTCGTTGAAATTTTAGTGATAATAAAATGTGATGAAAATTTTCAAGAAATTTCAGTTAAAAATTTTTAACACTTGGGAGATGGAAATTTTCGAGGGCGTGTAGTTCTGTGGTGCTCGTACCGTTGAGCACCAAGCGCTGGAGAGGAGGAATGAGTGCCATTCAACAGACAATGGATCCCGCAAATCCCGCGTGGAAGCTGCGGCGGGGGGGGGGGGGGGGGNGTGAGCCTCCGGTAGCTCCTGCATCCAGTATTCCAAACCCTATGACATAGTATTCCTTCGCTTTCTGCGCTGGATCTCCCCGTTTGAGCCATTAGCATCCCCTCGGTGTAAATGACTTGGTTCGAGGAGCTTGTTTGAATTATATATCCCCCGGAAATTCATTAATTGTTAATTTACGTTTCATTTGATGTGAATTGATGTAGACGATGGATTGAGGGTAATTCCGCAGCAAAATGGCGGCATTCGAGAGCCATTTTTCCTCGTTAGGTGTAAGGTGGGGAATTTTTTAAATGGAAAAGCTGTTTTGCGCTGGAGAGATTTGTTCTTTGAGTATTTGAAGAACTATTTTATTTAGGAATTGTTTTTTGTAGGGTTTTCTGGGGTAGAATTTCCTAATGTTTTCGACGCAAGCAGAATAATTTCAAAATTCTCAAATAAATGAAGAATGGAAATGTTTATTTTGTTCAATTTTATCGATTTTGATATAAAAAATGGTAATTCCAGGAAATTTCTTCGAAAGGCGTAGAAAATTAGAAGAATTTCCCAATTAAAAAAAAATGAAAAATTTGTTTTTTATATTTTAGAAACTATTTGAGTTAAAAGTAGTTTTTTGTAGGGTTTTTAGGGTGAATCAGAACAATTTTCAAATGTTCCAACAATATAAAATAGAAATCTATATTTCGTCGACTTTATCAATTTTACTTTAAAAAAAAATTCACAATATTTCGGTTCCAGAGGCATCAAAAAATAAAATTCCAAAATTTGAAAAAAATAAATTTATTCCGATATTTCAGGAAATATTCGAGATAGAAATAGTTTATTGTAGGGTTTTGTGGGGTAGAATTACCCCACCTTTTCCACGCAATCATCAAAATTCCAAAAATGCTAAAACTCAAATTTTCATTTTCCCCAATTCATCCAACATCCGCCAAAAAAAAAATCATTTTCGTGAAACTCCTCATTGTCACCTGCTTTGCGTGGATGCAGAAACGAGTCTCGTGACAGTTGCCAGTACGTTTAGCATTCGACAAATTGTCGGTACGTGAGTTAGTTGGAAATGGCCTCCGGATAAAGGCGCGATGAAGAGGGGTTTGAGGGTGGAGGTTCTTGAGATTGCACGGGATATCCGGCATCGTGCCGATCGCTGTCTCAAGCACTTGGGTGTGACGCACACGTGAATTGTTTCACCCAGAGGCATCAAGGTGTGGTGGCACTTACTAACTGTATATCCGAGTTATACAGACACTGGTGCACTTGTTTATCATGGGTGAAGCACGCTGGTGAGTTCCGTGCTTGTGGGCCTCTTCAAGTTGCACCATCAGGAGTTTATCGAGTGCCAAACACTCCCGAGATATCGGGAGTTGCTGGTTGGTTCAATGGAATTTCAGGGGGGGCGTGTGTGTTGGCAGTCTGTCGAGAGTTCGGGCTTGATAACAGATGTGATTGAACTTTCTAGGGGGAATAAGTGGAGGAAATGTCACGTTGTGGAGATGAATGCAAATTTGGGGATTGAGTGTGTGGACAGATTCATATATTAAATATAAAAAACAAAAATCTAAAAAATCATCAGCTATAGTTTCATCATTCATGTTCGAACACTGTTATCTATATTCACTCTTCCCTGTCTGGTCCACTGTCCTGTGGCGTCACCCATCCGGCCACCAGTTCGACATCGAGACGACTGGTGACCAGTGCCAGCGCAGCATCACAAAATTCTTCGAAATAAGCCCGGGGGATAAAGCATTTTTATGCTGCCCGATGCATTATACATGGGCGTCCCTCATGTTTTCACATGAAAAACAGGGGATGGGCATGAAAATATGTACTGACCTGTCGGCGGCACAAAGGCGAAGAGCACCTTCCAGAATATGGTGAGCGAGTGCATGAGGTAATCAGCGAATGATGGAGATGAAACTCTAGCCTCGCCCGACTCGTCGTCCTCCCCTTCGTCTCCGCCGCTGACCGTCACAGCCTCCGTAAACTGTTCTTTCCACGAACTCGTACCTGGAATTGAGTTAAAAAATAATTTTCTAAACAAGGAGAAATTATTTTTTGATCATAAAACAGAGGAGAAACCCAATTTAAAGGGAAAATTTCAAAAGATAATTTGAAAAAGTATTAGTCTTTTATTATTATTTGTTTTTCAATTGATTTTTCATTCGTTTTTGACTCATGAAACGTTCAGTGGAAAATATTCTATAGAAAAAATGATAGAATAGATTTTTCTATACAATTTATTCTATGGAGAATTTTTCTATAAAAATTCGTCGACCCAAAATTTCCAAGTTTTTTTCGTTTGATTTTCCAATTTAATTTTTATAATTGCTCTCATTGCACAAAGCAATACGACCCATGAGAATCATATGTCCCAATTTATCAGCTGTTAAATTTTCATATTACAATAAGTGATTTGATCATGTTCTAATTCCTAATATCACACTTTGGCTCCGGATGAAAAAAAAAAATTTTATTTCTGTATTTGTGGGGCACGTGAGGGTCTCAGTGGCATTAGGCGGGCCAGAAAATACAGAATCCACGTTCACCCGGCGGAAAAATTCGATTTTGGCGAAAGTCGACTTTCCCCCCGAAAAAAGCCTAAATATGGCACTTTGGCTCTGGGTGCAAAAAAAAAATTTTTTTATTTCTGCATTTCCGGGGCAAGTGAGGGTCTCAGTGGCATTAGGCGGGCCAGAAAATACAGAATCAGCGTTCACCCGGCGGAAAAATTCGATTTTGGCGAAAGTCGACTTTCCCCCCGAAAAAAGCCTAAATATGGCACTTTGGCTCCGGGTGAAAAAAAAAATTTTTTTATTTCTGCATTTCTGGGGCAAGTGAGGGTCTCAGTGGCATTAGGCGGGCCAGAAAATACAGAATCAGCGTTCACCCGGCGGAAAAATTCGATTTTGGCGAAAGTCGACTTTCCCCCCGAAAAAAGCCTAAATATGGCACTTTGGCTCCGGGTGAAAAAAAAAATTTTTTTATTTCTGCATTTCTGGGGCAAGTGAGGGTCTCAGTGGCATTAGGCGGGCCAGAAAATACAGAATCAGCGTTCACCCGGCGGAAAAATTCGATTTTGGCGAAAGTCGACTTTCCCCCCGAAAAAAGCCTAAATATGGCACTTTGGCTCCGGGTGAAAAAAAAAATTTTTTTATTTCTGCATTTCTGGGGCAAGTGAGGGTCTCAGTGGCATTAGGCGGGCCAGAAAATACAGAATCAGCGTTCACCCGGCGGAAAAATTCGATTTTGGCGAAAGTCGACTTTCCCCCCGAAAAAAGCCTAAATATGGCACTTTGGCTCCGGGTGAAAAAAAAAATTTTTTTATTTCTGCATTTCTGGGGCAAGTGAGGGTCTCAGTGGCATTAGGCGGGCCAGAAAATACAGAATCAGCGTTCACCCGGCGGAAAAATTCGATTTTGGCGAAAGTCGACTTTCCCCCCGAAAAAAGCCTAAATATGGCACTTTGGCTCCGGGTGAAAAAAAAAATTTTTTTATTTCTGCATTTCTGGGGCAAGTGAGGGTCTCAGTGGCATTAGGCGGGCCAGAAAATACAGAATCAGCGTTCACCCGGCGGAAAAATTCGATTTTGGCGAAAGTCGACTTTCCCCCCGAAAAAAGCCTAAATATGGCACTTTGGCTCCGGGTGAAAAAAAAAATTTTTTTATTTCTGCATTTCTGGGGCAAGTGAGGGTCTCAGTGGCATTAGGCGGGCCAGAAAATACAGAATCAGCGTTCACCCGGCGGAAAAATTCGATTTTGGCGAAAGTCGACTTTCCCCCCGAAAAAAGCCTAAATATGGCACTTTGGCTCCGGGTGAAAAAAAAAATTTTTTTATTTCTGCATTTCTGGGGCAAGTGAGGGTCTCAGTGGCATTAGGCGGGCCAGAAAATACAGAATCAGCGTTCACCCGGCGGAAAAATTCGATTTTGGCGAAAGTCGACTTTCCCCCCGAAAAAAGCCTAAATATGGCCCTTTGGCTCCGGGTGAAAAAAAAAATTTTTTTATTTCTGCATTTCTGGGGCAAGTGAGGGTCTCAGTGGCATTAGGCGGGCCAGAAAATACAGAATCCGCGTTCACCCGGCGGAAAAATTCGATTTTGGCGAAAGTCGACTTTCGCCCCGAAAAAAGCCTAAATATGGCCCTTTGGCTCCGGGTGAAAAAAATTTTTTTTTTATTTCTGCATTTCTGGGGCAAGTGAGGGTCTCAGTGGCATTAGGCGGGCCAAAAAATACAGAATCCACGTTCACCCGGCGGAAAAATTCGATTTTGGCGAAAGTCGACGTTCCCCCTGGCCTCCGAGGGTTTCATTATTAGAATCAGAAACGTTAATCGATATAAAAATTAAGGAATGTAATCGAAACTAACTTTTATTTTTGAGGCCTCGCAGAGGCTCGAATAAGCCTTGACGTACTGAGCCTCAATACTCAAAGCCTGGACTAGGCTTGAATTGAACCTCGCCAATGGCCGCTTGCATCACCCTCATTTCAGGCTAGAGTGAACGATGAAATCAAGCCTGTCCCAGGCCTGCGTCACTGAGCTTCGCCAAACCTAGACTCGTACAGGCGTGTTTCCATCGTCAGCCTATATAATTCCTACCTGGGCAGGAATGCACCGCAGAATTCCGTATTTCACGTGTACCAAGAGATCGATCGGTATAACCTCATCAGAGGAATCTCATTCGATAAACGGAATGTCGAAAAATTCCGCAAGGCAAATTTTCTCGTCCCTGGGTTAGTCTCGGCAATGAGGCGTTCCCTGACAACCATAAAACCTCATTGCCCCCGCAAAAAAAAATCCCCCGCACAAAACGGAATTTCATCCCCTCAACACCATTTTTCAGAAGTAAAACAGGGTCGGGCAATAAAGGCGTGAAAAGCATCACCATTGGTCAATCGATTCGTTGCACACAGGAGTTATCGTCTCTGGTGCGCGTTTACGACTCGGCAGGTTGTCCCGATGAGTTTGCAGTGTGATATACCCCACATGCACCCTGAAACTCTTCATTCTTTGACATTCTCTTCAACCAGATGGGAGTGTTTACTGCTCTCTCGTACCATTATGTGGTACGAGCTGGTGGATCGTCTAACCAGGCAGTGAAACTTGTGTTTTATGATTTTTAAAAGCTGGAAATATTTAAAGGGCTTTGTGTCAACATGAATTGTAATGTTTGTTAGGACATTACGGAGAAAAACATGATGAAAAAAAATACTAGAATCACCCAAAATTTATTCAATTTATATCTGAGATGACCGGATTTTGGTAATTGACGTCGAACTTAATAAATCGCGATATGTGGGGAATAATTACTATTTTTTGTCCCGTCCAATGTTAAAAATTACGAGGAGAGAGGGAATTCTACCAAGAAAAAGAGAAAAAAGAAAAAATTTCATTCTGAAACTTGAAAAAGTATCTTCAGAATGAAAACAAAATTATGAAATGCTACTCTGTCATTCTCGAGTTATACATATTTACTCATACACATGTACGTAAGCATCTTTGGAACACATTATCATGGTTGAAACAATTATTTCAAACCCAGTCATCTCATTTTGCTATGATTAACTTGAAATAATAGGACATTAACTTACTAGTTGGAAAACGTCATATATTCGACGAATGTCAGGTTTACTGTATCACATTCGTCAAAGATGGCCTTTTCCAGTAAGTGAATTATATTACTTTATGTTCCTAGGCTCGAAAACCGCGTTCGAAGCGGGCGAAACGAAGTTAGAAACCCATTTTATCGAACACACCAACATAAATACGTTCATTTCATCCTAAAACTCCCAATACTCCCTCCCCATGGAAATTACCAAGCGAGACTGTAGTAAAATCGAACGACATGGAAAAAAGACATCACGAAAAAAAGTCAAGTGCATCGACAATAGATACTAAAGTGCCAATAACAGCTAGGGAAACACAAAGAGCGAGGCAAAGTAGAGGAGGTACTAACAATGGCAGACGGGTTACGACCGTAGCGCCCTCCGACATCAAATCTCAGACCTATCACTTGGTACAATGCGAAAACGAGAGTTCCCGTCACGAAATGCTTCTTTCGTTTTTCTTTTTTTCATTTTACCTCTCAATCGAAATACAAATATCGTGACAAGGGCTCACCGAGGAGAATTGAGGCGTTGGCGCGCTGCACGAGCTTGTCGACAGTGTTCTTGAACTCCTTTGATTCTTTGATCCTGATTTGAGCGGTGGAGACGTCACCCAACCTTGGCCTACCCAGCAGTGCCATTTTTTCCTCGTCCGTACGATCCTCTGGGGCTTTCAGTTCCGCTGATGCAGCTAGTCCTGCCTCGGCTGGTGAACAGAAATTTACGTCGCAGTTAGTAATCTTGATAAATAGTTCAATTGAATTTCTAGGTTTTTTTTTTTTGTAAATAGAGAAGCAATTTTGTTTTTCATGAAAACTATCAGATTTATCGGAAAAAGTCACTGAACATTTTTTGTAGGGAATTCAATTTTCCACAAAAAGTTCTAGTGAAATTTTCACCTAAACCCACTAGCTTTCAAGATATTTCCAAACAAGAAACGGGGAAAAATTGACTTTTTACATTTTTCCTGAGATGACTTTGTTTCTCCATTTGTAGTTTTTATTTTTGGATTTTGTATTACCCAGTACACGATCGAAAACATTTTATGACCCCTTGAGGACTCATTGCAAGCACCAACTTTCGTGTCGCAAAGCCATCCACGATTATACGTAATGTGTCGAGTGTGTCTCTTTCTCTTTCTTCACGACTCTCTCCCCTCCCATCTCCCCCTGGCACTTTGCATCGATTGTTGTATGAATTATGCGAAGTACCGAGGCCACCATGATGGTCCGACTGTGTACCGGGCTTTACATTATTTTTATTTCCTCTCTACATTCATATTTTCACTCCCTCTCCCCGTTTATGTACAGATTCAATGTATATCTATATCTAATAGTGTGTCTGCATTTATATTTCGCTTACTGCACTCTCGTAAATTCTATTCTGTGACCCTATACTGGGTCACCTAGACACCCGGTACTATCGCAATTTAATTTCTACGGTTCTAAAGTCACTTAACGTTATTTACAAATTTAACAGCTGCTTTTTCCTTTTTTCTTTTCAAAGCGAAATGCGAATGAGGGGAATAATTGAATGATTTTGTTCATGGGAATTGCTTTTGTTTGCCTGTTTCGTTTATGCGCAAGCAAATAATGCTCTTCAATGATGATAAAATGCTTCGGGGATTAATTATTCAAATGTAACGAGTTTATTTAAAATTACGTTTGACATTTTGCTTTGAAACTTCTGGTAATTGCGAGCATTAATATACGATTGTCAAGATAACGACTAGTGTTAGAGTTGAATGTTACAAAATATTTTCTGAAGCTGATGAGGTTCCTAACAAAAAGCTTTTCTAAACTCAGTAATTATAGAGTCTTAAATGAGGAAATTTTAAAAAATTGATATTTTTGTTTCAACCGTTTCGAAAACACTTCGATTATTCCTAAAAATAACTCGAAAACCGTTGGATTTATTGAAAAGCATCAGAAGACCTTTTTTGTAGCCAACAAAATTTTCGAAAAATAAGTCTTTTTGACATTTTCCTCTAAACCCAATAGATATCTAAATATTTGCAAAAATATAAATTTAAAAAACTGACATTTTCATTCAATTCACTTAAAAACCCCTCGACTACTTCATAATTCTTTCGTAAACCGTTAGATTGATCCAAAAATGTCAAAAAACATTTTTTGTAGCTGACGAAATTTCCAAAAAAGTCTCTTCCTCCATTTTTCTCTCAGCCCACTCGTTATCAAGATAATTCTCTCTAAATAAAAAAAAATTATTCCGTTTTATTTCGATTCCATATCTCTCATCCGAGAATTACCATTCCCTCATTGTTGAACGTTTCAGGGCCAAGAGTTCACGAGCAATCGATTCACAGTATTCCCTCGGAAATAAAAACGAAAAATCTGAAAATATTAGCATTGCGACTTTAGCATTAAGTACCCTGAGTAATCACTAAACTATCTTGAATAATGCGAAAAGCCCTACTGGCAAGCTACTAGCATCGGAAAGGCAGTTTCCCCTCGAGATAACCCTCGTCTTGCTGCCCCCCCCCTTCTCTTCACCCATCCAAAACTCCAGAGACTAATGTTTACGCAGCAGGTCCATGATACATAAGATCCACCAGGATATCCCCCACGTGTGCTCAACAATCCAGATCCAGACTTAAAACTTTTAAATTCCCTCACGTTTATTTATCCTTTAAAAAAACACGTGGGCTGACTTGGAACTAAACTCCGGCTGATTGCGTCTGATTCTGGTGTATCGAGGACACGAGAATCGATACCTGACATTTAAAAGCTCACGTTGCACCCCACGACACTGACTGTCCGCCTTTTTTTATCGTTTGGCTTGCAATATTTTATAGTGGGGTTTCTGTTGCACTGTGGCGATGACTGAGGGCTATATTTCACGGGTTACATTCATCTTGTCGAGGGGAAAGGCTGGAGTCATCAATCATTTGGGGAAAACAGCTCAGGTATTCAGGGAACGGTGGGGCATTTTATTTTATTCTGGTAGGAGAGATTGGGGGAGGATGACTAATTATAGGGAGATTCGGGGGAAGTCTTTTTTTGTGTCAGTTGAGGGTCAAATGATACTTTTTAATGAGTTTGTTTAAGGTGTTTGACGCTTGGAACCATTTAGCTGTTAAAATTTAGAGGCTTTTGAGGATTGGTAGACCGGTAAGGTCATTTTACCCTTAACCCTGAACGGTTTTGAAGGTTTATTTATTTTTAAGACCCGTTGACCCTCAACCCTGAATGTTCTTGTTTGATCATCAAAACCTGGTGAACCCCAACTTTAAACATTTTTGAGGATTGTTTGACATTTAAGATCATTTGACTCTCAATCCTGAATATTCTTGAGGGTTGTTTGACCCTCAAAACCTTTTGAACGCCAACTTTAAACCTTTTTGAGGATGGTTTGACCCTCAAAACCATTTAAAACCCTAATTTAAACGTCTTTAAGGATTATTTGACTTTCAAGACCATTTGACCCTCAACCCTGAATGTTTTTAAGGGTTGTTTGACTTTCAAAACCATTTAAAACCTAAATTTAAACGTTCTTGAGGGTTATTGCATTCTCAAGACCATTTGACCCTCAACCGTGAACATTCTTAACGGTTGTTTGACCCTCAAAGCCATTTGAGCTTTAACTTGAAACATTTTTAAGAGTCGTTTAGCCTTAAAACTATTTAATCCTCCTTTTTGTTTTGTTTTCAGTTGAAGGTCAAACCTGCTTGAGGGTAATTTCTCCCGCAAGGCTATTTAACCCTGAACCTTGAATGTTTTTAAGGCTTGTTTGGCCCTCAAAACCATTTAAAACCCTAATTTAAACGTTCTTGAGGGTTATTTGACTTTTAAGATCATTTGATCCTCAACCCTGAACATTCATAAGGGTTGTTTGACCCTCAAAATCATTTGAGTCTCAACTTTAAATGTTATTAAAGCTCGTTTAACCATAAGACCGTTTAATCCTCCTTTTTGTGTTGTTTTCAGTGGAGGGTCAAGCGTTCTTGAGGGTTATTTCACCCGCAAGACCATTTGACCCTCAACTCCAAACGTTTTTAAGGGTCATGTGACCCTCAAAACATTTTAAAACCTACCACCTTTCATTGTCAATAACTCCGGAATGGCAGAGTGAAATTTCTCGATTTTTTTTTTATTTTTAAGTTTTTTTTTCAACTTCAAAATGAAATCTGACTCATCCAAATTGTATCATTCGATCAGCAAGCATTAACGCCTTAACACGATCCCTTTTATCCCATTCTTTTCTACTTGTAAATTTATCACATCTTCAGTCGATTCATCGGCAATTAATTTTGTTGGAGGAAAAATCACGACAAATTGTGGGACTCGTCGGACGGATCAACTCCGACAATTAATCACTTGATTCTGTAATTATCGATTCACTCGTTAACAATGATACCCGTATTGAGTTGGTGTAATCCTTGAACGACAATCGACCTTGTATCATGTGATTGTCCCACCTCGTGAGTACAATAATCGACCTATTAATCTACCTAAGGACACCAGGTGGTAGTTTGACTAATGCCAACAACGATCGATCGCTCCCATTCAAGGGAATTGACAATGGGGTTCAATGAGTTGGATTTAATTCTCTTTTTATTGAGGGGAGGCTTTATGATTCCGTTGAGTGGCGGATTTTTAATGAGTGATTCATCACTTTCTGCGCGATCAACAATAGGGGAAGGAGTTTATAGCAGTTTATGTGGGGTTTTTTGTTGAATCAGTGTTTTATGATAAAAAATGTGTTTTGTTTATCTGAGTTTTATTGTTATGTAGTCATTTTTATGGAGTAATTGACCTGAGATTTAGGGTTTCTCTGATTTTTTTTATGAAGGTGGGAATTTAATGAATTCACAATTAATCAATTGAAATTTATCAACTTTTATTAATTTTATAATAATTAATTCTTAAATCAATTGAAAATTTGAGAATATTCATCTGAATTTTCCTGACATCTATTAATCTCTATAGAATAATTGAAGTCAAATTTACAATTCTTATGGATTTTTTCATTGAATATAAATTTCTAATGACGAAATCCCTGGAAATTTCAGTGGAACTCTCAACTAATAATAATAATTCGTCAAATATAATAATAGTAAATACAATATTAAGAAAGTAGAAATATTCTATTTACCCCTCACCTAAATGATTTGAACAATTATGATTCGTTTATTCATGTTTCCTAGAATGGTATTCAATTCTCTTTTGTTTGTCAGGCGGGCTTCATGAATATTCCATTCCAAATTCCAGATACTGCCCTCGTTTTGTTTTAAAAACAATTGTGAATTTTCAATGACGAAATCCCTCGGAATTCCACTGAATCTCTCACTCGCGCAACAAAATCCTCTCTAAAAATCCTCCGTCCCCATTTCTCCCTCAACCCTCTGACCCTCAAAGTATTCTCGGAATAATACAGCCATTATTTTCGACTCATCTCCTCTCATGTTTATCCCAAAAAAACCTCTCGTAACTCCATACACATTTACAACCATCCCTCGTCCACCCGGAGAGTGCATTCCCGTTGACTCTGACAATCTCCTCTCTCTCCCCCTCTCTCCGCCCTCTTCTGGTTTGAGATAAAGTGTATAATGAGAGACGGGGACAAATGTCCCGTTCTTCGCTCCCACATCTCCCACCTCTAATTCACCCTGACAATTCATCCCGAGGACGTTAAATAAATCCTGATATCACTGACAGCCTCGAAAATACGTCACTCCGCTGGAAT